TTGATTCTGATTCAGCCCAAATCCATTGGGCTATCAGCATCAGCCCACAAAATTGGAGCATCTTGGGGGGCCACTGATAAAATCAACAGGACGTTTGGCATTCTTTTCTTGCATATTGAAATGAAATTGAAACTGCATCATATTCGGTTTGCTCTTAATCTTGAAAAAGAGTTAGGAGTAATTAAGAATGGTAGCTGGAATCTCTTAATGGGGAGTTACAGTATGGAGATTATGGAAGTGGAGGAATGAAACGATGTTCAATGCTGATTTCATAAAACCTGAAGAACAAGCGTTAAGTATTCAGCATACTTGGAAGGGGTTTTTGTTCAGGTTTCCTGATGAAAACTGTCTCAGTAATATATTAATACTCCTAAGGCAGTTTTTGGGAATCCACTACCTATTAATTGGTTAAACTGAATGTGGATGGAGCTGTGTCTTCTGACACAAATAGAGCAGACTGGGGTGGTGTTTTGAGAGACCATCTATGGATATGGATAGCTGTGTCTTCTTGTTAGCTGTGAACTGAGTCTGGGGCTAAATGAGAGGGAAAAAGTCCAAAAAAAAAAAAAAGGTTAGACGGCAAGGGAAAAAACACAGGACAGATCACCGAATACTACCTCTAATCCTTAGAAAAAATTAGGAAAACCAAAATTATTTCAAAATATTTTTATTTATTATTTTTTTAATCTGATTTGCCTAACTTATAAATTGCTATGTAATTTAATGATATAAATAAATATTTGATAAATATCATATAACATATGTTATAATTATGTAATTTTTTAGCTTTCTTAATTTTTTTCAAATTAATCAAGTTCTATATTGAAGACTAGATAAAATACTCAATTAAGGACCTAAGAGGACCCAAGATACTAGACGAAGCATCCAGCCCAATTCTGCATATCAGTGAGCAATTAGGTATTTCGGTATTTGCCATCAGAGGCCTTCTTGTCCAATTAGCTTGGGCAGGGGTGTCTTGGCTTTTTGGAGCTCTTTAGTAAGCCAGCATAATTTAATTTTTGTACAGCGCGGGGAAAATATTTATTTTTCACATGCGTTTCTTATCTTAAAATATTTCATGATTTATCTAACATCATAAAATATTTCATGACACAATTTTACTCTAAAGTATTAATTTTTTTTTTAAAAAGGCAAGTGTGCTCTTAAAATATTTTTTAAAAAATAATTTTAACTTTATTGTTAACTTCTCAAAGAGTACGTTAAGTGTATGTTTGGTTACGCTTTTCATGGATGAAAAGCAGCTTAAATTGGATAAAAGCCTAATTAAAAATTTGGATGCTGTTTGGATGGGTGATTGGGTAATTCGGTTTTTGTATGAAAAGTTACAATAAGCTATAAGCTAAAATTAACACCTTATGACTTATAGTTTTTGAAATATGGAGAGAGAAAAAGTTAAGAAATTTATTACATCTTTTAGTTCTTATTATAAGCATCAAATAACTAATTTGTAGATAACAAAAAATTAGTTAAAATTAGGAAAAATTGCAAATAAAGACCCCCAATATATAAAATGGCGATCAGAGACTCTGAATTTGAGAAATTACTCACAAGGACCCGGTCCTAATTTGCAATTATGAAATCATGGCTAAATTACCAAAACACCCCTCTTTATTTTTTTTTTTCAAAAAAGAACACCACTGCCTCGCCAGAATCCGGCGCCGGAGCTCCGCCACCTCGACTGCCAGCAACCGGAGCTTCGATGCCGGCGGTCGGATTCTGGCCATTGCTGGCGGCCTTCCTTTGTTTTTTTTTTTTGAAACTGTTTTTTTTTTTAAATTGGGGGGAAGTGAGGTTGGGGGGATTTGATTCCCCAACCTAATGCTTTCCAAAATTAGGAATGACCATTGAGCCAACAAATTTTTGTTAACATTATAATACAAAAAAAAAAAGTTAACTCATTTACTCTTGTTCCAGGTGATAACAATAATACATTTGAAAATAACAACTTCTGATTGTAAAATAACAAGTCTGGGATTAAAATTTAACAACACATTTTTTTTATAACAATACACTCTGTTGCAGATGATAACAACAATACATTTGAAAATAACAAGTTCTGATTATAAAATAACAAGTCTAGGATTAAAATTTAACAACACGTTTTTTTTTATAGCAACACACTCTGTTTTAGGTGATAACAACAATACATTTGGAAATAACAGGTTCTGATTATAAAATAACAAGTCTGAAATTAAAATTTAACAACACGTTTTTTTATAACAACACACTCTGTTGCAGGTGATAACAACAATACATTTGAAAATAACAAGTTCTGATTATAAAATAACAAGTCTGGGATTAAAATTTAACAACACGTTTTTTTATAACAACACACTCTGTTTTAGGTGATAACAACAATACATTTAGAAATAACAAGTTCTGATTATAAAATAACAAGTCTGGAATTAAAATTTAACAACACGTTTTTTTAAAAAATTATTTATATTATGATTTTGGAAAATAAATTATTTATAACTTATAAAAATATTTTTAATATATTTATTTTTTCTAAAAAATACTTTTTAATCTATATATCTATACAACTCATTATAAATCAAACTACTTCTTATAAATTATAAAGCATTTATAATTAAGTATTTTTAATCTATAAATCATAGTATAAATTTTTATATTATTTCATTCTTTAAATATTAAAATTTATTATTAAGTATTTAAATATTATAGTATAATTTATTATTTCATTCTTTAAATATTAAAAATAGTTTTTATATTTAAAGAATAAAATAGTATTTTTAATTATAAATTAGAGATAAATTTCATTTATAAGTTTAAGCAATCAAAAAGTATTTTTAATCTACAATAAATTGTACTATTTATAATTTATAAGAAGTAGTTTGATTTATAATGAGTTGTATAGATATATAGATTAAAAATTTTTTAAAAAAAATTAAAAAAGTGTGTTGTCATTTTCCCTAAATTTTATTTATAAATTTGAACAATAAAAAAGTATTTTTAATCTTTAATAAATTACACTTTAAGTTCTGATTATAAATTGGAGATAAAAATTATTTTTTTAGCAAATTAAATAGATTTAAAATACTTTTTATAAGTTATAAATAATTTATTTTTCAAAAGTATAAAATAATTAATTGTTATAAAAAAATGTGTTGTTAAATTTTAATTTCAGATTTCTTATTTTATAATCAGAACTTGTTATTTTCAAATGTATTGTTGTTATCACTTGGAATAAAATGTGTTGTTATATAAAAAAAAGGTGCTGTTAAATTTTAATTCCAGACTTGTTATTTTATAATCAGAACCTGTTATTTCCAAATGTATTGTTGTTATCACCTGAAACAGAGTGTGTTGTTATAAAAAAAACGTGTTGTTAAATTTTAATCCTAGACTTGTTATTTTATAATCAGAACTTGTTATTTTCAAATGTATTGTTGTTATCATCTGCAACAGAGTGTGTTGTTATAAAAAAAACGTGTTGTTAAATTTTAATTCCAGACTTGTTATTTTATAATCAGAACCTGTTATTTCCAAATGTATTGTTGTTATCACCTGAAACAGAGTGTGTTGTTATAAAAAAAACGTGTTGTTAAATTTTAATCCTAGACTTGTTATTTTATAACCAGAACTTGTTATTTTCAAATGTATTGTTGTTATCACTTACAACAGAGTGTGTTGTTATAAAAAAAACGTGCTGTTAAATTTTAATCCCAGACTTGTTATTTCATAATCAGAACTTGTTATTTTCAAATGTATTATTGTTATCACCTGGAAAAAGAGTAAATGAGTTAACTTATATTTTTTTTTGTATTATAATGTTAGCAAAAATTTGTTGGCTTAATGGTCATTCCTAATTTTGGGAAGCATTAGGTTGGGGGATCAAATCCCCCCAACCTTACTTCCCCCCAATTAAAAAAAAAAACAGTTTCAAAAAAAAAAATAAAGGAAGGCCGCCGGCAATGGCTGGAATCCGGCCGCCTGCATCGGAGCTCCGGCGAGGCAGTGGTGTTCTTTTTTGAGAAAAAACAAATTAAAGAGGGGTGTTTTGGTAATTTGGCCATGATTTCATAATTGCAAATTAGGACCGGGTCCTTGTGAGCAATTTCTCAAATTTAGGGTCCCTGATTGCCATTTTATATATTGAGGGGGTCTTTATTTGCAATTTTCCCTTAAAATTAGTTGAAAGTAATAAACAAATTAGAAATATAATTTTGTTTTTAAATATGCTCACAGAAATATGTATACTTTTATTTTTTTATATTTCACTTTATATTTAAAATATTTTTTATGATTTCTCTAAAGTTTTAAAATTTAATTCACTCATTAAATTTGACTTCTTCTTATTAAATTATTTTAATTTCATTTTATTATGTGAAATCATTTTTTTAATCATGTTTCATTATTTATTAAAACTTATACCCATTTTGGTCATTTTATAATTAAACTTATTTTTAGTCAATCATAATCCAAACAACCCTTTATCAATCTCACTTTTGCAAACTAACTTTTCTGAACTCCAATCCAGACACAATTCAGTTTATTTAATTTAGCTTTTACCCAACTTCACTTTTCTATAAACCAAATTGACAATAAACTACTTTTCCAATCATTGATCCAAACGGATCCTAAATAAATGTCAAGCATCCTAAAGTGTTTTTTTCCCTTAATATTTTTGGGATATCGAATCTATCTTAAGGGGAAAAAAAATACTTCACATACTAGATAAATAATAAAATACTTTAGGTGTTGGATCTTTAGGAGAAAATATGGATGAATCATTTAACATTTAACCTTAACACCTGGTGTTTCAAGAGTGACTAGGAATATAGGGCTGTGGCCCTCTTCCGTTTTTTTTGGTGACAAGTGGCACTCTTCTTTGAGATCGCACATTGATTGCAAATCGTATTACCCTCTCCAGTTAAAAAGGGTATATGTCAAACATTCTACGTGTATTAAGATTAAGAAAGAACTACGTTAAATTCATTACATTTATCTAAAATTTTAAGTATTTTCCAACACTACCCTTTTTCCATGCCAGTGATGATTGAATTAATTCACGTTTTCCATGGACCTGGCTTCTCTCCGCTGCCAGGTCCCTCCGCTGACCTCCTCTACCCAAGACACTGCCGTTTTGGGTGCAAAATGAGGGGGGCTGATTGTTTTTTTTTTGTTGGTATTTTGAAATTTTTTTAAGTAGCATCTAATATCTTTTTTTTCATAAGCATCCAATGTTCTAAAATAATTTTTTGTTACACCCAGTATTATAAAATATTCTTTTAGTGACATCCAATATCATAAAATAGTTTTTACCTTAAAAGTGTTTGTGAAGTAGCAACAATATTTAAGATACTGAATGTTACTGAAAAAATATTTTAGAATACTGAGTGTATAAGAAATTATTGTAAAACACCAGGTACTAAAAATTTCAAAATACCAAAAAAAAAAAAAAAAGCAATCAGGCCCCCCTCATTTTGCACCCAAAACGGCAGTGTTTTGGGTAGAGGAGGGCAGCGGAGAGAAGCCAGGTCCGTTTTCCATGCACTCTTAGTTCCCTCTCATCATGAGAATCACATTCCATTCATCAATCATACTAGTTAATCAAACCCAAATCACCGATGTATGCCTCCACGACACAGTAAGTGGCTAGCAATAATTACAGTTTGGACGACAAAGTTAGCCAACAACTAGCACAGACACTAATGAAGCACCTCGCTAGCCAACGAAGATCCCGCTAGCCAAGTCCAACACCGCTATATGGGGTTTCTGGGTTTGATCGCTCCTGTAAGGAGAAAAAAGGGAAAAAGATCCACATTAATGGAGACAACATATATAGAAAGAAGGGGGTGCTCATCAGCAGATGGTTATATCCAATCACACACTCAGAAATATGTGTACTCAGAAATAACAGGTAAAATATGAGCATGAAGATAATTTAGGAATTGCCCATAAGCATCTCACCAGTCATAATAACGAGGCAGAAACTCATACATTGAAGAACTCCGGCAACTGACAAAAGCAAAGAACGAGGCAGAACAGAACTCGTTCGACCATCAAGAAGATGGGGAAATCTTTCGGCCAAGAAAAGAAGAAGAGCAGGTCACAAACTGCTTCAACGCATTGTAAGTTGACCTGACAGACAAACATCTCAAAGAGGACAGGGTCAACAAAATGCTTATAAGGTCACGTGAAGAAGAAAAATCAAATCACAACCAAAGCAAAGTTCACCTTATAGCACGCAGGAATGGATCGGTGTGACATTTCGCAACAAACATCTCACGGTAGGTAGGGTCCCACTGAATGGCAGTTTCAGCAACGTCGGCAGTGATGGTGTAGGGATCCACCTCATAAGATGAAGGCATCTTGATGACATCAACAACAAATCCACGCAGTTTTGCTTTGCCATCATCATCAGTTTTAACTGAAGCATCGTAGTATCGACGAACCTGTCGAATCTCAAGCGATGGAGACCTTAAATAATACTATAAAACATAATATGTTTGACTGACATAAGGATTAGGTCTGCTTCCAGTGTGCAGAAGCAGTGATTCACAGAAGGGGGGGGGGGACGCAATATCCAAAGGAAAAAGACACATAGCCCTAACCTAATTCTCGAATCTACAGATATATCACAATGGGCTGGACAAGACAATGGAATATTAAATGGGCCTCTCAGTCTAAGTCACAGCAACTGAATGGGCTTTCTATATCTTATTTATGGCTTACCTTGAACTCACTACCACGTGGACCTGAAAGAGCGCCCATCACGTTCAGCCTATAAGCAGATTTATTGGCGGCCTCATAACCTCTTGGATTTCTCATGGACTCGGTGCTGCCATATTGCCCAACACTTGTTAAATTCCAAAAGTAATAAAACCGAAGATGAATTATTAAGTAACAGCATTTACCTGAACATCATGTCTGTTCCATCTCCCAGATTATAGCCCTGGTTTTGTCAATTCCAATGTCAATTCCAATGAATATATCCACTAAGAAAAAATCACGGACAGAATAAAGAGAGATACCGGAATCTTATTTGGGTCACAAACCACCATCTTGTGCTTCTCAGCCACCCCCTGCAACATAGAGGAATGTCAAAATAGCAAATGGATTTTTGAGAAATCAAAATATTTTGTAAACAGGAAAGTTTTTTATACCGGAATTGGCTTGGGGTCAAAGGAGACCACCACACCAGCAATCTCACAGATCCTCTGTTACCAACAAATAGAGATGTTAACTGAGATACTTCTAGCAGAAGAACAAACCAACAATTAACCTTTAGACCTAGTCAATAATTAGTCTATCACGCAATCGAATGTTAATAGAAGAAAAAACATTTCCCTATACAAGAACAGTTTCTTTTTTTGTAGTTTTTAAATGGTTGCCGTGCGGTACCTCCAAGATGTAACGAGCACACCACAATTCGTCACCAGCAGAGATACCAACTGCAGGACCAACTTGGAATTCCCACTACACAAACATACTGAAAAGGTAAGAAAATGATAAAAATTTGTTGAACAAGAACGGAGAATAAGACAATGAGAAATGTAAAGATTGCAATATACTTGGCCAGGCATGACTTCTCCATTGATTCCACTGATGCTGATACCAGCATATAGGCAGGCTTTGTAATGTGAATCTACAATGTCACGACCAAAAGCCTTGTCTGCGCCAGCACCACAATAGTATGGTCCCTGGTATAATGAGACAGAAATGTTAACCGATAAAAATTCAACTTTGTCTATGATCATCTCTATGCATTTAATTTAATATCAAATATAATATGATTAAATAAGAGAAAGGGAATAGAAAAAATTGCAAATAAAAACCCCCAATATGTAAAATTATGATTTGGGACCCTAAATTTAGAAAATAGCAAATAATGACCCGATCTCACTTTTGTAAATATGAAATTATGGTGAAATGTCTGAAATATCCCTCAGCCAAATGACATGTTGACTATAGGAAATGTCAAGTTCATTTTAAGGAATGACAATTTCAGTAGACCAAATCACAATTTGATTGAGAGTATGTCAAATGACAAGTTCACTTTAACGAAGATAACTTTAGTAGACCAAATCACAATTAGGATGAGGGGTATTTTAGACATTTCACCTATATTTCATATTTGTAAAAGTGGGACTTGGTCCTTATTTGCTATTTTTCAAATTCAGGATTTCAAATTGTAATTTTACATATTAAGAGTTTTTATTTGTAATTTTCCCAAAAGAATACTACGTTGTGATATGTGAAAGTAGCTTCAAATCACATAGCGCTAGCATGGATTAAATGCTCTATAAGCGTCCTTTGAGGATCTTGCCACTTGTGTCGGTCTCTATTACTTGTATATAACATTTAAGTAATTCCTATTTAGTATTTGAAAGTCAAATGAGCAGGATTAAAAAAAAAAAAAAAGACTGATTAGCTTTCCAAGAGTGTGCATGTTTAAGCTGGACCTTAGAGAGAAAATTAAGTGGGTTTACAAAACTTGAAAGGAAGAGAATCTTCACCTGAGGTCCAGGAAAGCCACCAATAGGCCATCCAAGAGGCCAGTTTACATCTTTCTGCAACAAGGTGTATTCCTGCTCAATGCCGTACCTATTTCCAAATGAAATAAAGGTATAGAGTAAGCATAAAGGCATTAAGTCATGAGCCAAAAGATTGTTCTGATACAAACATTAAATTAAAACACAAATAATACCAAGGTTCTTCTGCAACAACATCAGGATTGCTAAATATTTTTGCGGCAGAGTGTCTCTTGTTCGTGGGAATGGGTTCTCCAGCAGGAGTGTACGCATCACATATAACCTACGTTCAAAGTCAAACATCATCGAAATGAAACCAATGTAATTATTGCAAAAGCTGTTAAAAAAGCCAAAACCTACCAAGATATTTTTACCCCTTCTGAATGGATCTCTGAAAATTGCTTGTGGGCTGTTGGTAGACATAAATAAATATTAGAAATACAATCCATGTGATTTTACTCTAAAGTATTTATTTTTTTTGGGGGGGGGGATCCAAACAGGGTTAATTTATTGAAAAATGCTTACTATAGGATCACTTCACTGTCATCTCCAGGAGCTTGACCGGTGCTAGAACCATCATAATTCCACTTGGGCAGCTTTGAAGGATCACTAACTGGTCCTGGGAGAGTCTTTATATCCCCAAAACATTTTATAATTGTATAAGTAAACCAAAACAATATAAAAGTGATTTCATTCGACGGCTGAGAGATTCAATTACTAAATTACCCTTGCTTTGCTCCTCAGGTCCATGCCAGATCCACCGATCCTAAAATATCACAAAGGGATCAGAAATAATTAAAGAGTGATAGGTGGAAAAGTGTGTCAGCTAAGTAGGGGAGTTAAATGAGAACGAAGCAGAGCACGAAGTCAGGGAATTAAAAGCCAGCAACTAAAAGGAAAGAAATAAAATTTTTGGTTTAAAAGAAAAAAGGAAAGAACTATGTCATTAAGTGAAACAAACAGGAAAAAATATGAGAAACGCCAAAAAAACTGTTAATCGAGAACAGAAAACTGAATAGAAAATCAGACGAGAGATCAGAGTAGGCTCACGCCAAAAAGAAACAGGGCAAACAAATGGTCTTTCCCCATTCTGTTCAGCTCAATTCAATGGAGTTTCAAAGGATCGATACTCATAATCATAAACCTAAATCACTGTTCTTCTTCAAAACGTGTTGCTCATTTTCTAGAAAGTGAAACAGCTGTTCGGAAAGTAAAACAGAGAACAGAGAATGATTGAGCGGCAAAAGACGAGCAAACAGGCGACCACGTGAATTCATGCGTAAAAGGAAGAGCCAGAAGCAGAAACGTACCATATGTACTCAGCGATCACCTTCTCGGTGGATTCGGAGAGGTTGAGGTTGATGAGATCGGAAAGCAGAGGCATCTCAGAAACGAAAATCTTCTTCACAGCTAAATCCGCGCAGACACGAACTCTCTCTCTCCCGCAGCGTTTGTCGGATTTTTATAGTGCGGCCCCGTACCTTGCAAGTACTACCTTTGGTCCCGTGATAGCTTTTTGCTTTGGCCCAGAGGTCCCATGATTATAACTTGTACATTCTATTTTGTGGTTTTTCCCAACCAAAGCAATTTAAACTTCCTTTTCTTTATCTGAAAAGAAATATTAATCATCACATATTCTCTATCATTTAATAAATTATTATATTTTAAAAAAAAATTTACTCATTCTTTCTCACTTTCTCTGTAATAAGGATGAAATTACAAGAAAAAATTACATCTCTCACTCATTTATTATTTTCAACTAATTTTAATTACCATTCTGCTTAGAAATATTTCCATCTACCATGACAAATCCTAGAGCATATGATCACGGCATGATGAGAATTGGCGTCAAAGAGGTGAGAATCACCAAGTAAGAACAAGCCATTTTAGTAGAGGAGTTCGTAGGTTTTATCTCCCTTAGAAACTGTGCGTAGTTTGTGGTCTTCAATGGACGATAAGGGTCATCGGAAAGTGCCGCTGGACAGGCCCTGGGATAAGCTTGTGCTGGAAAATTATAAGAAGAAAAAGAAGGGGGGAAATTCGCACCCCCAATTTCTATTGACGCCCCTCCACCTCAAGTGGGGGAGGATACCAACCCCACGAATACCTCAGAGGTGATGGAGCATGATCACGGAGGGAGGACGGCAGCTGAACCAGAGGCAACGAAGCGTGAAAATATCTGAAAAGACTGATACTCATGGAAAGACTATAAATTTCTTACCGGGGCTCATTCCTGGGCATGGGTTATAACGGGTTTGCAAATGGTGCGGTTGAAATGGATGATGGGGAATAGTGAACAGAACATGGGAAGTGCCACAAGCTGGGGAAGCAGTTCAAAAACTTATGCAGATCTATCTGGTAGTACCCATAGAACAAGATGAATACAATGACTGGAATGCGACACTGATTTTAACAATCCTAGCAAAACGATACAACGTGTACCAACTATTTCTCTGGTTCAGTCGTATCTGGGGATTTCAGGGATTTGAACTTATATAGACATGCCAAATAACTATTTCTCTGTCCGATTCACGAGCAAAACGATTGGCCGGCGCAGTCTAGCAAGGTGCTCTTTGATGTCCTCTTTAAGAGTTGTGATCCAGCTAGTACTGCGTTCTACCCTTATAAGAACCAGCTCCGTCGTATTGTAACCTGGGTGCGTGTGCCTAGGTCACAACTCTTAATAATAAATACTCATTTTAATAAATAAGGCTAAAAAACCTAAACAAACAAAAAAATCTTATGAAAAGATGGAGGGGTTATCTAGTCATATGACAGTTTCTCCACCGAAAAGGTAATCATAATATTGTTCATCACATCATCAACGACACCAAACAGCTGCTAATCTCGAGGCAGAAGATCAACATGTCCGAAGACGCTTCAACTTACTCCAAGTTGATCTGACAGACACACATTAAAAGAGGACATGGTTAACAAAATGCTTCATTAGAAGAGAAAACAATAAGCTCACAATTTCCATTCCTGTTAACACATGTTCTTGATTAACTTCAAATTGTGGCTGATCAAGCCACCTGATATCAAATCTAAACAGCTTTGGAGTTAAGGATTCATTAAAAGACAGATCTCCATACATTGTTCAGTCACTGCTCCGTTCAGGTTTTCCCTAGCTAATCAATCCCTCCCCTTCCCTATTATTCATCCTTTCGTTTCCACTTCAACCATATTACAATCTACCAAGCACATTCTGAATCTCTCCAAATATCTATTACATTTTGCTCTTTCCCCTTCTTTATCAGAATCTCTTGTAAAGCATCTCACTAAAATCACCTAGCACCAATCAGGGAATCTCGCTTCTCAGGGTTCAAATTACTCAAGTCACGCCACCACCATGCATGCATCTTCTTTTTCAAAAGACGTTATTCAGGCCATAAACACTAGTTATTTGTTAAAAGTGTGCGTTAGTTTAGAACTACCTCTAAGTAAAAATCTCCTTAACATGTACAACATATGTGGATAATTTGGAACAAAATTAAGAACTTGGGAAACAAAATGTGTTGGGATACTATATTTGGAAGTAAGCAAACCGCCTCACTGACTCCTAGAAGGGAGTATGACCAACATAAAAATTAACATCTCATATGCACGCAGTTAGCGTTTATGACAGTTGATTAAGTCAGATATATGCAGTATCACACCTAAAGAGAAAGTATTATTGACTGTAATGTCACTTGCATATTATCAACAGAAAGAAATAGGATCAATCAGCTGTAGTAACTGTACGATATGAAGTACCAGTAATTAATTTTATGCCTTTGGATCAAAAGGGGCTTATAATTGTTTACCTTACAGCACGGAGGAAGGGGTCGGTGTGAGATTTGGCAGCAAGAATCTCAGGGATGGTAGGTTTCCACAGACGGACGGTTCTGGCAATCCTGGAAGTTATAAGGTAGGGGTCCATCTAATGAGATGGAGGCATCCTAATATCAATAACAAACCCGCTTGGTCTCGCCCTGCCATCAGCTTCAACTGGAGCATCAAAGTATGGAAGAATCTGTGGAATGTCCATTGATAGCAAATTGACAGGTTTTCAGTTATAAATCCATACACAATTATGAGATCAATTCAAGGAGAAGGAAAAGAAAGTACTCCTCCGGTCCTTATTATAAGACCCAATTTGACTTTTTATTTGGTCATAATTATAAGACCCAATCCATTTTCTCTCTTATATTTATGCATTTTTTTCCAAGATAATCCTTCTAATAATGATAGTTTTAGCCAATATACTTAATTAGCAAGGATATTTTAGGAATAACAACACTTATTTATTATAAATAAGCAACTTAACTTACTTCCTTAATCTCCTCAAATAAGTCAATTGGGTCTTATAATTAGGACCGGAGGAGTATCTTTTTTTTTTTACAGCTTTTTATTTTTTCAACGATAATATTATCGCTTCCGTCGTTCATATTGCTTACCTTAAACTCATTATTGCCCTCGCCTGAAAGAGCGTGCATCATCTCCAGCTTATCTACAGCCCGCTTGGCCTCTTTATAACCCCTTGCATTTCTTATGGACTGGGTGCTGTCATATATTGCCAAACACTTGTCATATTTGAAGTAAGAAAATCCAAGATTAATTCTCTCCTATAATAAGTAACAGCATTTACCTGAACTTCATCCGTATCCCGGCCTCCATATCATAGCCCTAGTTTTGAAGATTTAAAAGAAAAACACAAAAGAGCCCAGGTTTTGTCACTTCCTATGAATACATCCTTGAAAAAGTTCAGAATAAAGAAAGAGCTTTCTTGATACCGGAATCATATTTGGGTCAAAAACCACCAGCTCATACTTCGAAGCCACCATCTGCTATGTAGAAACAAGGGCCTCTGATCTGTTGAAGTATTTGGGGGAAAATGACAAGAAAAAATAGTAATATTTGTAGCCATATTGTTAAGCTACCGACCTCCGCAATGTAACGTAAAATCCACACATCGTCAGCAAGAGATATGCCGTCACCCTGCATGACGGTTTGAAGATTGGATTCGATTAGAAGAAAATAGGAAAAACATTAATTATAGCCTTAAAGGACGTATGATAAATAAGGATCCATGTGTATGTTGCGTGCAGAGAAACAATGGCCTTTGTTGAAGTAATGATGAGAAAAAGAGCTATATAGTGGCAATATCGTTAATGTACCTCCATTATGTAACGTGCAGTCCAAACATTGTTAGCAAGAAAGATTCCAGATGCAGAACCACCCTGCATATGATTCCGAAGGTTGGATTGAATTAGGAGAAAATAGACGAGAGATCAATTATAGTGTTAAATGATCTAGTTGGGGATTGGATTTGGTTTCTCAAATTTACAATTTTTCCTCCAAAATATCTCTATTTATTGTAAGGTGTTCCCATTAAAAGATAGTTCTAATGTGAAGTTGTTTAGGAAAGTTAATGCACATTTGTTATAAATAACTATAATTGATTTCATTAATATCATCAAATTAAGCATCTAACATCAAGAATTAAGGGTAGTATATGATAAACATGATATTTATGTGCTGCATGAAAACCTGAAAAATGAATTGAACAATTCAACACATAAGGACAAAGAGTGGTAAACAAGAGTGATAGGACAGCTGCAATTCACATGCCTGGATGCCAGCACGTGCACCGCTTTCGGAAATTTCTTGTATAACATGAATCACTGCCTCACTCAGAATAGCATGCTTATCAAAATCCCAATAGCGTGGTCCCTGTCGCAGAATGAGAGAAATGATGAACAAGCATCCGTGCGATGTCTCAAAATTAAATGCATGTCGAGTTTTGAGTTCACAATAAAACAAGTCTTGGATAAATTGATTCAAAGAGAAAAGAAGACCAGTAATTTAAATAAATACTCTAATGTATTAATTGTAAATGACATGGCTAGGATGAGTTACTTACATTAGATAAGTGTAAGGTCGATAGTTCGGGGGTACGTATAGCAGTTGTCTTATAATAAACTAGCTGTTGGAGGTTTAAAGCCTATAATAAGGGGATGGAACTCTAACTGGGATGTTATGTCTTGGTGAATAATTCAGAGCACTCTCCAGTATCCAATGGTCTGACAAAGCTGCTGTTACCTTCAAGCCTCAAAAGATTGAAGGAAACCTTAGTATCATAGCATCACGGGTCCTTGCAGTTCCAGATCTTTCCAAGGTTTTTGTAGTGGAAACAAATACTTGTGGGTCAGGAATCGGAGCTGTATATTAAAGCAATAAGCTCAGCCCATATCAATTTTAGAAAATCTTTGGCTCCTAGACACCAAAATCTCTCTATATATATGAAATGGAAATTAGCAGTTGAACATCGGCATCAGTACCTTGAAGGAAGGAAGATTACTGTTAAAACTAGCCAACAAAGCCTCAAATATTAGCTGGACTAGCAGTTTATAATGTCATTTCAAATGTATTGGGTAGCAAAGCGATGTGACTACGAGATACATTATAAGAAGGGAAACGATAAGCGTAGCTAATGCACTTTCGCCTATGCCAAGATTGAAAGTTTTCCAAATGGCTCCCTCAACTTGTTTAGATGAACTCTTATTGGAAATCTAGAAGAGTTGGGAAGAAGATATGGACTTGGAAGGCTTTGATCTCTTACTTGCAGCAACAAGGAGGTGGAGTGGGTAAATACACTTGGACAGTTTTGAAATAAAAATGGGAAGTTCGTGGTAGGGAACTCTCTTATGGTAAGCAAAAAATTTTAGAATAATGACTTCATACTAGTCCTCAAGGGGGACATTCAGGTGTGCAGCCTGCTTACCAGGGAATAAGAATGTTGTTTTCGTGGAAGAAATTATTTGAAATGGTTAAGAATACATTAATAATTGTGGCAGATGTGCTAAGGTGCAAATATGAAAATGTGGCTTATTCAGAACTGTTGCAACCTCTCTCTATTTTTAGAAAGATATGAGAAATGTTACCATGGATTTTATTCAGAGCTTGGCAAAGTCAAATGGGAAGGAGAAAATCTGGGTGGTAATGGATGGATTGAGCAAGTACGCTCACCTTTTGCCACTGTAACACCCATTTACAGCATCTAATTTGGCTCAAATTTCCCATAAACTTTATGGAGCTCTTATACATATCATAAGTTATAGAGACCCATCTTCACAAGTAACTTTTGGAAAGAACTTTTGAAGGTGTTAGGTATACAACAAAGATTGATGTCTAAAGAATTATTTGTGTTATATGTGTTGAGAAAAAGCCAAAAGATTGGAATAAATGGCTGTAAGTCCTTGGCTGAGTGGTGGTATAATACCACTTTTCACACCTCAAAAAAGGCTACCCCTTGTGAATCATTATAAGGACAACAATCACTTGTCCATATACTTTATCTACCTAGAGATGCATTTTTCTCATCTTCTTCCTTTCTCACATCCTCTTTCTCTCCCTCTCCTCCCTCCCTCCTCCATCTTTCCTTTTTCCCTCCACTGTTACACATCATACTCACTATACCCTTTCCCTCTCCCGCTCCCGCTCCCGCTCCCCCCCCCCTCTCTATATAATGGTTTCAAAATTTTTGGCGTGTTTTGGTTTGTGAATGGAATAGAAAAGAGAATGGGATGGAAAAGTAGCTTTGGATGTAGTTTATATAACTGTTCACGCCCTTTGATAAAAATTAGTAGTGAAAATAGTTGTTATATTTCTTATCCAAAAAAAATAGTTGTTGTGTGCCCTTTTGTTTGTTTCAAAACCTTTGTGTTTTTATAAATAAGAGGGCTGTCAACTTTTCTTCTAGCTATACTCTCATTGTTGTGTACTTTTTCTTTTATTACCTCTTCTTTTTCTCCCCTCTCATGCGCACGCCAAGGAAGTGATCATAAGAGTATCTGATGAGCTAAATTATAGTAATATAGTGGATTAATTGAAGATTTTTTAATCTAGTTGGCATAACCTTGAACAAAAATAGACATGTAATTTAATAGACATTTGTGACATATTATTCAAGCTATCTAAATTAGGTTACCAAAATATCGCCTTGGTGAGTGTAAATCTATAAGACTCCACACACAGACATGTAGTCGGCCAGAATAAGAGTCCATAAATATACAAGCTAAGCGATTGTTTTTATTTTTGTTGATTAAGACTTGATGCATTGCATATTTTTGTATCAAATGATTCGATGTAGGGTTTGAATTCCTTTAAATCTTTTGTGGGGGAAGAAAATTTACCTGAGGCCCAGAACAACCTTTTGGCATTAATATGAAATCTTGTTGCATTTGAAACCTACATTTCCATATGAAAGAAAAGTAGAGTTACGACTTTGGAAAAAGGCAAAGCCAAACTTCTCTCCTGAATTACTTAGATACTACAAACAATACCGTGGTTGCTCAGGAGCAACATCAGGATGGTTCATTGTCATTACAGCATCATGTCTTTTGTTTAAGGGAATAGGAGCTCCACCACTAGTGCATGCATCATACAGAGCCTGAAGTTCAAGTCGAACATGATTGAATAGAAACAACCTTAATTAATAATTACCATCATGACAAGATCATTGTGAATGATGGGAAGTTCAAGCTCAATCAGTAGCTCACCAAGATTTGGTCAAGCCTTCCATATGGATCCCCGTATATTTTTCGTGGACTGTCGCATGTGGTTATGTATATATAATTATATAGTTTTCATAATAACAATAACAACACCATAATAACAAAAGCAGCGTTATATATGAATAAAATGTCACGTCATCAAAGACAAAAAGGATAGTTTTTGACCAACCGGATAACTTCACCGTCATGATCTACATTAGGATCCTGATTCCTACGGTTCCAATCATGAAGCCACTGTGCAATGGTTTGGTGCACAGGTCCGAGGGCACCCTTCATGTTCCCCGAAAACATATGGCATTGCGTGAGTAATTAATAAAGCAAACCAAACAAAAAAGGAATTTCATTTTTGTAATTTTAAGGGAGAGCTAGGGAGCAATCAGAAGGGAAGCACAACATTTTTTTTTTTGGGACTGCAAGAAGGGAAGTACAACATTATTACCGTTGATCGTGCTCTCACACAAAACCAGCAATTCCAGAGGGCCTGCCAAAGTAGAAATTGGGGACAAAGATTAGAGATATAAATTAATGATAAACTGGGGGGAACAGAAGTTTCAGATAGAAAGTTCGCTCTCGAACTAAGAAGTCAGTCGGTTTGCTAAATTAAACCATTTTGTCTCACATCAAAACGGGCTCATTGGTTCTAAACCCTACTTGTTAGGTAGGTATCTAATATCTTATACATGTGGGAAGCGATATTAATGGTGGCTTTCTTCACAGAGAGGGTACTTGTTGCGGGCAAGAGTACAAAGCAAAGAATCTCTTTGAAAATGCCAAAAAGATACTCGCCTCACAAAGACAGCTCCATTATTGGCCAAACCCACCTTGGCGACAGTATCGGTGCGGACACAGGTAGAAGCCATTTAAGATTGTTGCGAAAAACGAGGTGTGTGTTTGTTTTCTTACAGGCGACTCGTTTTTTCCGCCATCCTTTTATGGGTTTGAAAGACGGTGGGTGTACAGTGGGGCAATAAAAATTTTGTCAAAATCAAATTCTTTTTTTTTTTTTAAATACCACTTCCCTTTCTATTTCTTTTCCCAGTTATATATTTAGGTTAAAGAGGAGATATAATACTCTTTCCAATTCATGATATAAATCCCTATCAAAAAAATGATTGGGTCCAATTTTATATATATTATTTGAAAAGTAATTAAAAACTCTTTGTTAATTTATTTTTTAATTAATGTTTAAATGTAATTTTTTGTTCTCTTTACAACTTCATTTAATACGAATAAAGTTAAAAATTTTTTAATAAATTAGTTAATGTAACTTATAGCATTAATAAAGGAGTCAACTTGGTCAATTTCCGTAGCATGGGTATTATCGTAAAAAAGTTCTACCTATTACATATTTAAACTTTATAACTGAATTTAGGTACTTTTCATATATAGTATTATGAAAGTAGCCAAGTAGGTATTTGTTCCGTATAAAAGACAGAGTGAGGGAGAGCACTCTGCATGGGGAACAAAATAAGTATAACTGTTAGCATTGATCTGATTTAGTTTAATTTATTTCAAGATTTTAAAAAAAAAATCAGATTTTTTGGACTGAACTTTTCATTTCAACACTGAATTACAATGTCAAAACATTTCTGTTTTAAAAAATATGCTATCCCTCCATCTTTAATATAATTCACTCTTAGCTACATTAACCGTATTTAGAAAAGTTAACAGGTCGTTGCAATTATTTTTTCGCCATCAAAAGTTTATTGCATGATTAATTATTTTAAAATATAAATTCAACAATGTTTAATATCCCTCTTACTAAGCACATTAAATTATACAAAGGTTATCCTATTTGGTCTTCAGACAAGTCATGTTTCCCAACACTTTTTTTTTTTTTTTGGCCAGATATTTCCCAACACTTCACTCCTTATAAAATGGAACAGCCATTTAGACAAGCTAAGGGGCAAATATGAAAGGAAAATAATTAAATGCTCAAGTATCTTATAAATTGATTTATATTTAATACCAAAATAAAAATCTAGAAGGTAACTGATAATAAATAAATATTAAGAGAATAGTAATGGTTGAGCTATTGGGATCATAAAATTAACCTAGCTAACAAGAAATTATAAAGTACACACACCAAATTAATTAAAGCCTTCAAAATAGTCCACTAAAAGTTCTCATTGTGCATAAAAGTCACCCACACCCACACACAAAAGTACGTTTTGGTAAACTGATTCTTTGATAAATTAATCAAATCATAAATAAGCTAAGTTTGTGTGTATGCAGGTGTCACAAGCAGATATGAATGTGTGTGTGTGTGGTGTGTGTTTTTGATCCCTTGGGGAGAAGACTAACCATGAAAGACAAGTTCACTGGTCATGCATCCACAGCTTCATAATCCGCTTTGAACAGCTGAGAATGGTCATAAACTGACCCGGATCGACAGTCTTCTTCATTCCCCAAAATCATTTCCTAATTGCATAAGCAAGCCGATGGAAGTAAAGAGAAGAAGAGCAAATAAATTATAGTGGGAGTGTAATAAGCAATGAAATGTTAATTAAATTATGCACTCACTGGCCCTGATTCTCTGGTGCTTGCTAAATCCACCCACCCTACCATATCGCAAATGAAAAATGATCGAAAAGTACATTAACATTTCGTGAAGATCATCGACTTATATATGTAGTTCTACATTCCTAGCTAGTCCTAGCAATAATGAAATAAGTGGACAAGTAAAGAGATTCGCGTACACCAATATTGAAATGGATTTTGTACAAGAAACGAAGGGAAAATGCTGAGTTTGGTTAAAACAGTACCTTATGCATAAAATGAACAAGAAATTGAATCAAATGTTCTAATGAAAAAAAATCATCACAGATGCATAAAATGAAGTGACATACATACACACACACACACACACACACACACAGAGGTGTGCTGTGACATGATGATCCTCCATCTGCTGCAGAACGTAAGACTGATCTGAAACAAAACGGCATCCTCAAACTCTGACTCGCTATACTTGAGCACCCAGATTCAGTTCACCGGCATGAACATGGCCTTTACTTCCTGAGATCTGAGATGAATACTTAAATGCCTCTTCCTCTCTCATCTACTACATATATGCCAATGACTGCAAAAAAATTAAATAATCTAAAATGATGGATGATTAGAAAATGACAGAAACTAAGATAAAAAAATACGCCTAATTAACATAGCATACCAAAATAAATGCGTTTTATTTGATTTTTATTGATATGTTATATATGACTATAAAATTGCTCAAATCCATTTTATTACTCCTCCAGTCCTTAATATAGGACATAATTCTTAAGCTGGTTTTAATTCTAAATATAAGACCCATTTTTCATATTTATTAATTTTCTTTAAATTATCCCTATGGATACTCTTCTCAACTATAATCAAGTAGAAGAGGATGGGTAATTAGAAGGATGATTATGGTGGTTTAGGAAAAATGTGTTACTTTTCTTATAATTAACTAACTTACCTAACTTCTTAATCTAATCAAATTAATTAAATGGGTCTTATATTAAGGACTAAAGGGTTATTTGTTTCTTACTTGATCAGTACAAGTGGGCGCTGCTATTATGAAAAATTACCATTCTTATGTATAGATATGCTCGTGGAGTCTAGGTGAAGCACATGTTCAAATAAATGCTTGATTTGTATACTATTATTGCTGTGTTTCTGAAAAGTTAGTGTCTTTTTGCTGTGTATGCTAAAAGGCTTTCCATAGTTGCATTAATTTGTATGCATCTTAGGTGAACCTTTTGTCTCCACTTTTAACTTTCGGAGCACAATTGAAATCATTGTTTCAGTAATTTTAGCTTCCACTTATTAAAAAAAATGGATGAATTATATCAATGTTTTAATGTATTACTAAAACATTAATCAGAGAAAAGCAAAATGGTGTGGGTTGGTCAGTGGGTGGGTGTATGAGAGAGAGTGAGCATATACAGCATATGACCCGTGTCCGTATTGTGTTTACCCATATAAATAAATGCAGGCAAGTCTCTGTTCCCGATGATAAATCTAGGAGCATGTGATCAAGGCAACATTTACGCGTTCCAGATATGGGAATTGGCTTCATCAAAGAAATGAAATTCTTCTTTTGACCAAAAAAAAAATGAAATGAAATTCTTCTCCCTCCAGAATATGGAGTATACTTATCTTATTTATGGAGCATCTCTAACATATTTAATGTAAGTGATTAAAAACATTAAATTGCACTAATTTTTTTTTAAAATATAACAACTTTTCAATTTTACTTCTATTTAATATATATATTTTTGAAAATAACTAATCACAGTAATAAATGAAAAATAAAACAATACACTCATACTAAAAATTTAATGATATGACTTATAAATAGAATAAAAAACCTTCTCTCTACTTTGTAAATATGATTTAGGGTCTGTTTAGATTAGCAGTAGAAAAAGTAACTTATCTTTAATATGATTTTTAGAAAAGTTCGATTAGGTAATGTGATTTATGTTTTAAATTAACTTTTATAAAAATTAGTTTGTAAAGTAAAAAAATTATTTGGATTATGATTGAATAAATCAGTTTAATTTGTAGAATGACAAAATAGGTATGACTTTTATTAAATAATAAAAAATAATTAAAATATGAATTTACAAAATATATTAATTTTAAATTATTATAATAGGAAAAAGTTATATTTAATAATTAAATATATTTAAATTAAAAATCATAGTAATGTTAAAATTTTTGAACCAAATAATATTATATAATTAATTGGATGATATATGTACTCTGCATAATTTATGTAAATAAAATAAAAAAAAATAATGCTAAAAATTAAAATATTATAAAAACTATTGAAAATTATTTTTACTTAAGAAAATATTAAAACAAACAACTAAAAACTAATTGGGAAGCACAAAGAATATATAAAAGAAACATAAGAACAATATAAACATAATGGCAAAAATATCTTTTAATTCTAAAAAGCTACTTTTGCATAAGTCATAAGTAAATTTTAAGTGTTTTTGCAATCGTGCTGAAGAAAAAAAAATTTTAACCCATAAGTCAGATTGGTCAAAAATTAGAACAAACGGCTTTCAAATTTACAAACTGACTTATTACACCTGTAAGCTACATTTTTCCTCCTAAAATGCCTTAACAAACAGGCTGTTAGTCTGTCTACCTTATGGCCAAAAAAAGGGGGTTAATAACACATATTTATGCTAGAAAAAAATTAATCTTTGGTTATTCAAATGTTAACTTATCAATGATTTAGTCTGCCAACTATTACTCAAATATGATTAAATCCCTCAACTTTTAACTCATTTAAAACTCAATCTCTAAACTTTTCCCATTTAATAAATTAATCCTTATCATATATAACTCACTCTGACTCTTCACATAATTATCCTATGTCGTAAAATAATATTACTGACATGGCTTCCAAAATGAGCTCTTCTCATTGATCACACAAACAGTCCCTCCTGTCTCCCTTTCTTCTTCGTTCAAACCTCCACCTTCACACACTCATAGCGAATTTTTTCTAATTTAGTGAATCTTTCTTATCAAAACATATTAAGATGTTGAAAGGATGGGTGGCCACGCCATGAAATATTCATGAGCCCCAAAAATTAAGTTTTGAAATTCCTTAAATCTGAAAATAATCGGAGAAAAGGGAGGAAGTAAAAGGTTAAATGGAGAAAATTACAACGGAATTAATGGAGTGAAAAGGGGGGGGGGGAACTTATGGGCGTCGAAAATTGAAGCAAGCAGCGAAGGAGAACGGGTGCTGGCGCTATAAGGGTGTGAAGGTGGAGGTCTGAACGAAGAAGAAGAAAGGGAGACGGGAGGGACTGTTTGGGAGACCAATGAGGAGAGCTTATTTGGAAGCCATGTCAGCAAT